CTTATTACAACAGTGGGATACAGTGTACACAATAAATATAAACTGCTGCACCCAAAAACACAAAAAGTTCAAGTTTTGTACCATAAGACCAAACCAAATTTCTTTTAGGTCAAGTATAAAAACGTTTATGTACTGAATGTTAGACAAAGGCAAATATGTTTGTTCGGGGACTACTCATTTCGGACTAGGATAGATTTTTGAGATATATACAAGAGTTGTTACATTCTTGTACAGCCACTAGTACGCGTAGTGTTTCGGGCAAGTCCTTAATCCTATGGTCCCTGGAATACGATCCCCTGCCGCGAAGAATCGTTTTTTCATCCAAGTACACATTTTACTGTTGCGTTAAACAGAGGCTACAGTTAAGGAATTGCGCCCAGTAAATCCTCCCCGGCCAGGATACGAACCCATGACATAGCGCTCGCGGAACGCCAGGTGTCTTACCACTACACCACGGAGACTGCATTGATTGATTAGGCTGTTGCGATTATTTATATGTCCTTCAATACACCTCCAGTATAAAACATTTTGCACATTTTATACATTGTCGCAATAGGTACTACCATTATTTTGGAGAATGGGTTGCGAAAACCGGAAGATGATGTCGGCACACAATGACCCGAAATTCACTCATGCTTCCTTCATATAACTCACAGGATGGGTTTGGGGGTGAACTACCACTCACAGGATGGGTTTGGGGGTGAACTACCACTCACAGGATGGGTTTGTACTACCACTCACAGGATGGATTTGGGGTGAACTACCACTCACAGGATGGGTTTGGGGGTGAACTACCACTCACAGGATGGGTTTGGGGGTGAACTACCACTCACAGGATGGGTTTAGTGTGCACTACCACTCACAGGATAGGTTTGGGGGTGAACTACCACTCACAAGATGGGGTTGGGGTGTACTACCACTCACAGGATGGATTTGGGGTGAACTACCACTCACAGGATGGGTTTGGGGGTGAACTACCACTCACAGGATGGGTTTGGGGTGTACTACCACTCACAGGATGGTTTGGGGGTGAACTACCACTCACAGGATGGGTTTGGGGGTGAACTACCACTCACAAGATGGGGTTGGGGTGAACTACCACTCAAAGGAGGGGTTTGGGGTGTAGTACCACTCGTAGGATAGGTATGAGGTGTATACTACTATATATATATATATATATATATATATCTCTATATATATATATATATATATATATATATATATATATATATATATATATATATATATATATATATATATATATATATATATATATATATATATATATATATATGACCTTGTGGGGAGGAGGGACCCCAATAAAAGTCAAACCTGTATGTAAACACTCTGGCTTCATGTCCCCCGACACAGTGAATCATAATAAAAGAACTGAACTAAACTAAAAGTCTGAGGGTGAAGCGGCTAACAACTAACAAGGCACAATAGGGCTCACTTTGTCCAGACATTTAAGACGTTAAACCATTTCTGTTGAAGATGTAATGTAGCCCTCCTCACTAAACTTCAATGAAAACCATTCGGCGAGAGATACTTTTCCTCCATAATCTGTATTAATAAAAACCCATGGAACATATTTAACCACATTCCAGTCTTTGGCCAAAAGTAGTGTTAAAATTTAAAATACAGCTTGATTTTGTTTTCAATAATGCAGCGACCTTTCACAAGCCACCAGCTTCGTATCGCTGCCTCAAACACTTAGACAGAGGCGATCACAAATACTGAAGTTTGTCCTGCAAGAGATGAAGCTCAACCTCCATTCTCTATTATACATCCTCGAGGGCGTAACTTAAGTAGACAAAATATTGTTGCCCTTAGTACACTCGTTGCCAAATATAGTCAAAATTTGATCAATTTATCACTTAAATGAGTTTGTAGGAAGACGGATGGACATGAAAATTACGTTATTTCTTTAATGTTCATGAAGAATTAAATATTTGCTACGAAATTCTAACAATAAAAAAATTAGCTGGCAGGCTTAATTTACTGTTGGTATAGTGAAAATCTTCAAAAAGTAATGTCCTGACATGAAATACACAAACAAAATATATTTTAAACAAATATTACTTTAGACTACAAATACATATTGTGTTTAATAACTGTTTGTTTTAATATTATCTAACACTATATTCCTTCTAAAATTAACTGTAGTTACTCGCGCCGACAGATTGACTGTATTTAAATAACTGATACTAACTCCGTCCTCTTCTCGGAGAGCTTAACTTAGTCCTCAACTATGTTAATGGCTAAAGTATACTTTCTGGTGGTCAGTAAGCTGGTATTAGATCTCTCTAAAGACGGACAGACCTTTGACCTTAAACCTAATACTTTAATCCCTCTCTAAATGAGGCTACAGGCTGTACCCTGCCTCATTGTCCCTGTGTTTATCTGTTTACAATCAATCTGTTTACCTTCACAGTGTCCTCCGTTTACATACCAGGCTATACAGTAACATTAATTAATAATAATACAGATACTAGGACTTGGGGTGGACGGTAGAGCGACGGTCTCGCTTCATGCAGGTCGGCGTTCAATCCCCGACCGTCCGCAAGTGGTTGGGTACCATTCCTACCCCCCCCCGTCCCATCCCAAATCCTTATCCTGACCCACTTCTAAGTGTTATATAGTCGTAATGTCTTGATAGTTCCTTCCTAGTGACATAATATACAAATAATAATAATAAATAATAATAATAATAATAATAATAATAATAATAATAATAATAATAATAATAATAATAATAATAAGAATTATATTTGAATGGCTTCAGTAGCGACATATCCTGCCCTAAGCATCAATATGGCATGTTCTTATCTCGAACCCATTGTTGATGTGACGACTTATATTGAATTTTGTAACTAGCTCATCAAGATTGTAACTTGCTTAGCTAAATGAATTGTGGGGTTCAGTCCCTGAGCCCATTATGTGCCTCTGTAACCCTTTCCACTACCCCCCACAAGATGGGTATGGGGTGCATAATAAATGAACTAAACTAACTAACTCTTAGTATCAGCATAGCATACACTCTTGCAGTAGCATCATAGCATGCACTCATAGCATCATAGCATGCACTCATAGCATCATAACGTGCACTCATAGCATGCACTCATAGCATCATAGCATGCACTCATAGCATCATAGCATGCACTCATAGCATGCACTCATAGCATGCACTCATAGCATCATAACGTGTAGTCACTAGTAACATAACATGGCTTCAGTACCAACATATCACACCCAGAGTAGCAACACAACAGTTGCATAAGACATAAGGGAACACACCTACAAATTCAATGATAACAATAACATATAATTGTGTGTTGTAAACAGGTGGAACATTAGCCACAATTACTATGATGAGAGGAGCAAGTGAGAGAGAGAGATGCAGGGCCTCCCAACCCTTCCGGAGTCTCTTTTTACCTCCATAGCCTAGCAATTATTTGTTTTTTCGAAAACAATCAAATAACAAATATTATTCATGGCTACACATTTATAATTGAATTAGTTTACACAAAATCTTACTATAACGCATACACGTAAAACGTGAAGCATTTAACATTAACAACTAAATACATGTTTAATGTTATTTTAATTTTGAATTGAATCCAAGGGATAAAAAATTAAATTACATACATATTCCCTCCCCCCCTCTCTCTCTCTCTGTAATATATATATATATATATATATATATATATATATATATATATATATATATATATATATATATATATATATATATACAGTATATATATATATACAGTATATATATAAATATATATACTGTATATATTATTGTATTTATGTATATGATTATATTTATATAATCATTGCTTGCTATTGTCAAAAGAATTTATTGTTGCATTTATTATAATACTATTTTTGTTGGTATTATTATTATCATTGTTGTTGTTGATTGTGCTCGAGATTATTCACAGCAACCACTGAACATTTCTCTTTGACCTTGCAGAGGCTACCATCTGTATGCTACAACCTTCCCAAACACAATGCCACTATTTGAAAGGATTGTTGTCCATAGACTAAGTTTGGGTGCATCTACCTACATCTCACCTACAACTACAACCAGTTAAAACACCTCTGTGAGGGCGTTGTAATCCATATATTATACAAATCTGTTGATATAAGCGAGAAATCAGTTTTTAATGCGAGTGAGAGAGCAGTGGCACTGTGCCTCCGCCCTCGGCACCATGTTGGCAGACAATTTCTGTGACAATTGGCTCTGATTAATAGTTCCTGCAGCGTTTGATGGACTCACAGACGTGTACTTTCATTTGAATAAACATTAATGAGCGCCACTAGCGTTCTGAGCATGTATTGAGTGCATGGGCTATAGCATACCAAATACTATACAGCACCGTCCTCTCGCATGGAAATACCCTTCATATTCGTTCGCATATTTTCACCAAGCTATTGACATATAGAATGTATAGGGGAAAGCGAAGGAATATGAGACGCGAACGAACGGTTTGGCCACTCAAGGTGGGACAGTGTCCGCAGGCCAACACTAGCCTAAATAAACTCTCTCCACACGAGTACAATACGCCCAGTTTGACAGTGGCAAGTGTAGGGGGAGCAGCTTGCTCTGCTGGTGCAACACGCATCACATCCCCTCACAATATTTTGGCCAATAACCCCTCATAATAATAAAATTTTTGGAGTAGTCAGCGGCGGTGAAACATTGTCTTTGACACGTCTTAAGAAATTTAAATCTCCCGCGCGCCTCAAGACTCGCGTATATTATTGGAACACCAGACAAGTTTCCTCAAAGTTGAATTATTATTGTTATTATTACTTTAATAAGATCGTAATTATTATTAGTAGTATATATAAATATTTTCATCATGTCGGAAATGTTCAGAGAGATCGTACGTCAGTCCAAACCGCAGTTGGAGCGGATGTCGTCAACATCGTCGACAGCATCGCTGAGGGAACTCCGACGGCGGATCAGTCTTGAAAGCATGGCGGCGGAGGATACTGACGGGGCGCAGAACCTCGAGTATGAGGTCACTTTGGTGAGTACACACGCCATTTATTCTCATTTTATGAATTAGATATGAACTATTGATGAAGATGTGCAATGCCCCCGAAGATTTCTTGGGGAGTGCGGGTGTTTGCGTGGAGTTACGGAGTGTGTAGTAAGATGGTTGAGCGATCAGCTGGCCAATAAAGGCTGTGGGTAATCCCAAGAAAATCTCTACTTCCTTCATCTTGTGTCTTGAGCAGCGCTGAAATGTTGCATATATGTTGTGATAGAAAAAAAGTGTTCATTGCTCTGAAATTGTATTTATATAATCAAAGTGATTTGCTTATAAGAAGTGAAGTGAAATATTAACATTCGTAAGAAATAAGTGAAATATCGCAAGTTTACTTAAGATTCCTTTATGCTTGTGCGGTGTTGGAGAGATGCCATGGTTGTGTATGGCAAGTGGTTTGTGCCTCGTACGTTTTGTGATTGTGATTTTGTAGGAAATATGTATCCTGGCCAGGTGACGCACAGTGGCCTTGGTGTCCCACCTCTTACAAGACGGAAACCCGTAGAGTACAGCAGGAACACTCCACGGTCACATGCAAGCACACACATCTTGATAGCAACTGTGCAACAGAGAATAACAGCGGCAACGCCAGGCTCGCTTGCTACCGAGCGGCCTGATGACTTTAATATATTAATCTTTTTCACTTTTGAACTGGTGTGTATAGTTATCACGTGTCAGGTGTAGGGAGAGGGACAGTAGTCGGTGATCTGATCCATGTCGTTGTTGTGGCCGCGTAGAGGTTTCTAGTAACAATGTAGTAGACAAAGTTTACAGTAATTAACAAAGAATTGGTGAAGTTAATCTCGAGCACTTTGATTTCTCTCCAGCTTTAGTGGTTTTACGGCTAAGAGATTTAATTTTAAGAGAAAAGAGTGTAGTTAATCTTTTAATTTTAACTACAGGTGTAAACGCATGGTTTTCATATCGCCATGTTTTTGACATTTTAAAGTTAGATTATAACGTCTTCACGCACTGCCATGTTGAAAATAAGTGAAAATATAATTATACTTGTATATTTTGTTTAAACAAAATTAAATAGGTTTAAAACTGAACTTTAAAAATACTAACAGACCTGAATTGCATCTATTCTCGTTACTCTTACAGTATATAGCAGCATTTATTCGTTTAAGAAGGTATTTCCTCGACTGCATTGAATTCATAATTCAATGCAGTCGATTTAACTACAATTCAACAATTGTAATTGTTAATTCGGGTTTACCTGTGCGCATCTCCAGCACTTTGCATGTGTAAGCTGCTCGTTTACTCTGGGAATAACTTTCTCGTGTCTTGTACAGACGTTTTTAAGACATTCTTCACTAAGCCAGTAAATGCAGGGGGAAATACCATGGTATTATCTAGTATATAATTAGCATTCTATCAAGGAGCAAATGTTTAGTATTCATGCTGCACCAGGGCGACAGATATTCACTGAAGACTGTGCGCCGGTTTTTTCCACGACTTTTAAAACGACTTAAAGCTTAATCATGGTTACGAAAACTCTTCTTTGCAAACATGCGCGCTAGTCGGCCGGAAACCCATCTCCTGACATTAAAGTTGATGACCAAAATATTTTGACTTTTAGGGAAGAAAGTTGGCCTATGTGAGACATTCCATTGCTCAGAATGGATCACTGTTTTTAAATTAGGTTAAATGTGCTTGTAAATTAGCGACTAGACCTGTCGGAACAGCGCAAAGCCCAGGTTAGCATAGAGCTCGTTGACGTAATCTGACCCAGGATGAACATGTAAAATGGTGGCATTCTAAAGCTAAGTTTGATTGGAGATTAACATGGCAAGTCGGCCAGTATATTAATTGGGGGGGGGGGGGGGGGTTGCTTAAGGCCTTTGGCAAAAGTATCAGGGAGAGTCGCTCCATTTCAGAGCTTCCACCAGACCTAAAATAATTAAGCAGGATAAAATCGGTAAATATTTCTTGTTATGAAAACGAACCATTAAATCGTAGTTTCGCGATAATATATAAAAAAGATGCTTTCCAGAGCAACTGTTCTTACGGGCTCACCATAGCCCGTGCTACTTGGAACTTGTTCCGAGTAGCTGAATCTGTAACAGCAGCAGTAGCAGCAACTGTTCGTAGGGTCGTGAGTACGCTGCCTGAACCCCTTGACACAGCTTTCATAGTGTAGTACTCAATTAGGCCCCCCCCCCTTTTATTTCTCTATAAATGTACGTTAGCTGTGGTCAAATGAATAGAACAAAGGTATTTATATACAAGGTGGATACAAAATAAACTACTTAATAATAATACTTGGTTGGGAACAGGAAGCACGTGTATATATATTATATACTTTAAGCTTATGTCGAGGTCCCCACAAGGTCGACCTACTGACCCTCCCTAGGCTGCAACCCAACACTAGTTGACTAAACTCTCGGGTACTTGTACCTGTTTACTGCCAGGTGAACCGAGGTATTAGGTGAGGGGAGGGAATTATCGGGGAAAAGCGCAAAGCCAATAAAATTCTATGGCCCTTGGAAGGGATCAGGATAAAGATTTGGGATGGGACCGGGGGGGGGGGATTAGGTAAAATGAAACTTGCCCAATCATTTTTGTCCCGCCTGGGAATCGAACCCGGGATTCTAGATTGCGAGTGGAACCAAGCCAACCGTACTATGAAATCCTATTTACCTGAACAGTAAGGGAGTCCTGCATCAAGTGATCCAAGAGACCGAAAATGACTTACTGCCCTATGCCCGGGCTTGTCCGTAAAGATCTGCCGTCAGTTGATACTTTATTTCTTCTTGAAGTTGACGGTCTATAAACATGTAATATTATGGAAATTATCAACATGTATGATGCTTATAATGTTAGATTCTGTATATAATATATGCACAAGTGGTTCGGTAACAGGGTTGTTGATTTGTGGAACCAATTGCCGCGTAACGTGGTGGTGGAGGGTAACGATTGTTTCAAGCGCGGGTTGGACATGTATACGAGTGTGATTGGGTGGTTATAGATAGGAGCTGCCTCGTATGGGCCAATAGGCCTTCTGCAGTTACCTTTGTTCTTATGTTCTTATGTTAGTGCATTAATTCAAAATCGGTAGCCTGTGTGGTGGAGCAAGGGGTTGAACCCTCACAGTTACACGCACATTTATATAACATAGTAACATACTGGGAATTAGGCATACATAGGGAAAACAACCGTACGCGATATATATATTGTACAGTCATTGTTTTCCAGCAAATCCCTCCCCCTCCCCCCCCCCTGTTCGTGTCACTTCCCAGTTCGTTCCAAACTGTTATTTCTCCCCCATGGTGACCTGTCCCGGAAACGGTACAAGTTGAGTAGCTCACCTTGTGAAGGTCACCGCCTCCTTGTGGGGGGTGGAGGTGGTTGAAGAGAGGAAGTTGCGAGCCCCGGCTCCTTCACACCATCCTTTCACCCCCATGTGTACCATTTCCATGTTTCCTGGTTGATGGGGTTCTGGGAGTTCTTCTACTCCCCAAGCCCGGCCCGAGGCCAGGCTCGACGGCCCTCATCGCCTGCTCTAGCGCACCGTCCAAACCATTTGATTAAAATGGTGCCTTATGGTATATTTTGAAGTAGGCTGTCTCTTGTGCTGCAGCGATAACACTACTCGCACTAAGTGAGCGTTTTAGACTAGGCTCGTATCCTGGCCGGGGAGGATTGACTAGGCGCCAGTCCTTAACTGTACGCCTTTGTTCGTCCTGCAGTGATTTGGTACCTGGTTGTTAATGACTAGATGATTATATTCGGGGGGAACTATTGGGCAAAGCTTACTATGAGCTATGGGATGGGAAAGCTCTCAGCCTGCTGACAGGAGTCGGCTCGTCCTACCATTCTGTGGGATTCGTTTCCACTTTAGCCAGTGTCTTTCCTCAACACCCATACTGCACTTATCTTAGCCGTGACTCTCCAATCTGAACACTTAACACCCACTTACTAACACTTCCTCCCCCGCGCTGGTTAACCACACTAGCTAACGATAAAGAGCAAAGTTATGAACCTTTGTGCTGTGAGGAGGAGGCTGAATGATAGGGGGAAATTTCAAATCGGACAGAACTCTACTTGATATCACACGTTATTTATTATGGTTTTTAGTGTCAGAATAGTGAACAAAATAAATGGATATATGACAACTCGTACATCTGTACACCGGGTTCAGCGGCGACACTAAAGTGCTGGAGCTAATCTCTAGTAAATATTCCTAGACACAAACTTTCCCAAAGCTCACATCAACCAGACATCATTAGCTACATAGTAAGAGGAATTCGCTAAAAAGTTAAGTGAAGATAAAATCCATTTTGGCTACATGACAGTTCAATAGGCGCTGGAATCTATACTCCAGTCGAGTGAGGGTCGAGAGGTGGGACTCAAGAACCGCGGTTCGTACCCCACAAATAAAATTAGCAGAGTACATAAGAACAAAGGTAACTGCAGAAGGCCTATTGGGCCATACTAGGCAGCTCCTATTTATTTTACTTTTACCTCACTCTTGTTTGGGGTTTAGTTCCTGAGCCTATTATGTGCCTCCGTATGTAACCCCTTAAAGCACACGTCTATGGGTGCATAATAATTTAACAAAATGCGAGAAAATCCGTAGGAGCCGTGATGAGGATTCGAACCCGTGTGTTGGGTGTTCCTCAGGCGCACACTTCTACGGATTTTATCATTGATAGTCACGTTAGTGTGGTTACTCTTGTGTATCAAATGTGGTGGAGGCACTGCACCAGCCTTCTGCGACCCGCTCACGGAGCTATCTTGGGCAATCCCCTCACCCTCAAGATAACCTCAAGATAACCACCCTTATTGTTGATGCATGTTGTTGTTTCCGGCCCTGAGGCCAGCGTCTCTCTCGCCTATATCATACACAACAATTTAAACGTCACCAGACCAGTAGATGCAGACTAGGTTGTTTTGTTAATGGAAACCAATGCGAGGCTTATTGTAGTACCTACAAACACTAAGTAGATTTGAAAACTTCATTAATAATGTTTATG